ATTTTAACAAAAGTTCCTTTTCGACTTCGGGTACGAGGGTTGGCGTGAAATCGGCCATGAAGTCTGCTAAAATTTGAGACTTGATGGCCATTTGGGGTTGATATTCGATATCGTAGCCACTGAGTTTGACATCCCATTTGGCCAATCGGCCTGATAGTTCAGGCTTATGCAAAACATTACAAAGCGGGTAAGTGGTTAATACACATATGGGGTGACATTGAAAATACGGTTTTAGCTTCCTAGAGGCACTTATTAGAGCAAGTGCCAATTTCTCTAAGTGTGGATATCTAGTTTCTGTTTCTCCTACAGTTCGACTAACGTAATAAACAAGAAATTGCGTACTTTGCTCTTCTCAAACTAGAATACCACTTACCGCGATTTCTGAGACTGCCAAGTACAAGTAGAGTTTTTAATCTACCTTTGGAGTATGAAGCAATGGTGGGCTCGAGAGGTATCGTTTCAATTCTTCTAACGCCTATTGGCATTCCGAGGTCCAGGTGAAATCGTTCTCCTTTTTTAGTAGAGAGAAGAATTTATGGCTCTGATCCGTCGACCTCGAGATGAATCGGCCTAGGGCAACTATCCACCCTGTCAGCCTTTGTACGGCTTTAACATTGTCCACGACAGTGATGTCTTCGATAGCCTTGATTTTATCGGGGTTGATCTCGATTCCCCGATTCGACACCATGAAGCCAAGGAACTTGCCCGAACCGACCCCGAAAGCACATTTCTCGAGGTTGAGCTTCATGTCGTATTTTCTCAGTATCTTGAATGTTTCCTGCAAATGTGTCAAATGGTCCTCTGCGCGCAAGGACTTAACTAGCATGTCATCAATATATACTTCCATTGACTTACCTATTTGTTCTTTGAACATTTTATTTACTAGGCGTTGGTAGGTAGCTCCTGCGTGTTTTAGCCCGAAGGGCATTACGTTATAACAATATGTTCCATACTTGGTGATAAATGAAGTCTTTTCTTGGTCTTCCCGGTTCTTTTGAATTTGATTGTACCCGGAATAGGCGTCGAGAAAACTAAGGATCTCGTGGTCGGTCGTGGCGTCCATCATGCGATCAATTTTGGGCAATGGAAAAGAATCTTTGGGATATGCCTTGTTCAAATCCTTATAATCTACACACATCCTAAGTTTGTTCCCTTTTTTAGGCACTACGACTACATTGGTTAACCATTCGGGATATTTCACCTCCCGAATGGACCCTATTTTGAGAAGTTTAGTTACCTCATCCTTTATGAATGCATGCTTTACCTCGGACTGGGGCCTTCTCTTTTGATTCACTGGCCTGAACTTTGGGTCCAGGCTCAATCGATGTGTTGTTATCTCTGGTGGGATCCCGGTCATTTCTAAGTGGGACCAAGAACAACAATCTATGTTATCGATAAGGAATTTAATAAGCTTTTTCCTGAGTTCTGGGGTTAACCCCGTCCCTAGGTATACCTTTCGCTCAGGCAGGTACTCGATCAATATAACCTGTTCCAACTCTTCGATCGTTGATTTGGTGGAGTCAAATTCTTTAGGAACAACGAAGGTTCGAGGGGTCAAAAAATCTTCTTCTTCTCCCTCTATTTCCCGATTCCCTGATTCAATCGACACTGATGGCTATGATTGCTATTTTGCTTCCTGTTTCCCTTTGATGTTCGATTCTATCGATGTTGATAATGCCGATATCGGTATTACCAGATCGACCGTGAACATTTCCTTTATAGCATGCTGCTCCCCGTACACTATTTTTACCCCGTCCGACGTCGGGAATTTCATCATTTGGCATAGAGTCGAAGGGACTGCCCTTATGTTGTGAATCCAAGGCCTCCCGAGTAGGGTGTTGTACCTCATGTCGCCCTCGATTACCTGGAACTTGGTATCTTGGATAGTTCCAGCCACGTTCACCGGTAGGATGATCTCTCCTTTAGTTATTTCACTGACCATATTGAAACCGTTCAAGACCCGAGCTGCGAGCACGATTTGATCTTGTAAGCCAAGCTGCTCCACGACCTTAGATCGGATGATATTCGCCGAGCTACCTGGATCCACTAAAACACGCTTAACTTGAACTTTATTTAATAAGATAGAAATTACCAGAGCGTCGTTGTGAGGTTGAGAAATTCCTTCTGCTTCCTCATCGTTGAATGATACGGTGCCTTCTAGCAAATAATCTCGGGTCCGTTTTAACCTAGTAACTGATACCTTAGTGCATTTGAACACGGACCCTTGTGGAATATCGACCCCGCCGACGATCACATGGATTACATGCTGCGACTCCTCCTATTCATTTTTCCTGTTGGCATCCCTTTCTCTGAAATGATTCTTGGCTCGATCACTTAGGAACTCTCGAAGGTGGCCCTCATTAAGTAAACGAGCTATCTCCTCTCTTAATTGTCTGCAATCCTCGGTCTTGTGACATGCGTGCCATGATATTTACATATCAAATTAAGGTTTCTTTAGGAAGGATCGGTCTGTATGGGCCTGTGCCATCTAGTATCTTTGATTCTTCCAATTGCTGATACAATACCTTATGCATCGACACTAAAATTATATTCTGACAATCGAGGTGCCTCTGTGGGATCGACATACTTATCAAAACCACTTTTGCTCATAAGTCCCTGAGAATTCTGTCCCCGATCACTCCTTCGATCGTTCCGGGCAGAATTGCGTCCTGGGCCACTGTTCCTGCAATCTGCGATGTATGGTTGATATCGGTCTTTGTTCAACCATGGCTCCCTGTCGACGTCCCTCAGATTTTTAGCTGCTGACCTGTTTGGATGCACTGAACCGGAAGGAGCTCCTAATTGGTCATCCTCGACCTTGATCTTCGATTGGTACCGATTGTGTACATCGGCCCAAGTTACCACCGGATATTCGATCAAAATTTGCTTCAGTTGCCGTGATGCTATCGAACTTCGTTCATTCAATCCCTGAGTGAAAGATTGAACGTCCCAATCATCTGTGACCTGTGGCAACTCCATGCGTTCCATTTTAAATCGTGATACGAACTCCCTCAGCATTTCATTATTCCTCTATCTTACATTGAAAAGGTCTGATTTCCTTGTCGTAACTTTTATGGCCCCGGCATGCGCTTTTACGAAAGAGTCTGCTAACATGGAAAATGAGTCAATGTTATTTGGCGGTAGGTTGTGGTACCAAATCATTGCCCCCTTCGATAATGTTTCTCCGAACTTCTTCAATAAAACAGATTTGATCTCATCGTCTTCCAAATCGTTACCTTTGATGGCGCATGTATAGGAGGTCACATGCTCGTTGGGATCGGTGGTCTCATTGTACTTAGGTATGTCCGACATAAGAAACTTTTTTGGAATGGGCTTTGGAGCCGCACTTGGGTGAAACGGCTTCTGCATAATATTTTTTGAATCCATCCCTTTCAAAATTGGTGGTGCCTTCGGTATCTGATCAACTCGGGAGTTGTATGTCTCCACTTTCTTATGATTAGCTTCAATTTTCTTTTCTCCCGACTCGATCCTTTTGGTTAGCTCCTTGAGCATTTTTATTATTGCAGGATCGGTCCCCGATTCATTACTATTAGGCCTTTTTGGTACTGGCTCGGCACAGCGGGTGGCTTCTGGTTCTACCCCACTCAGAGTTCTATGTTGATTTTGTAGCTGTGCAATAGTGGCTTGCTGAGCCTGTAACATTTAAAATATTACCTGGAGACTAACCCCTCCATCTCATCTGCCCTATGCACCTTGGCCACTAGATCGGCCTTCTCTGTGTATGCTCCCTTCGTTGCCTGTGCCTAGGTCTACATTTAAAGCAACGTGCGAATTGACGTCGACTGGGTTGGCAACCGGTGCTCTCCCGAGATCAGTTTGTGGCACTTCGACCCCTGGTGCAATTACATTGTCGTTCTCCCCGTGAAATCCGAGGCCATTGTCACCATGTGTGGGCGCGTTTTGTGAGTTTGACATGTTTTAACCTAAAAGCAAAGATACTTGGCAAGAACAAGCGTAAAATAGTGTGTGTTATCGGAATCAGTATTGAAAAATCACTATTATCCTTAGCCCCACGGTGGGCGCCAAACTGTTTATCCTAAAATTTGGATAACAATTAAATTTATATTGTGGTTTTAAGGATATGTGATTATGTCCAATTCCAATTGACAAACGAGAAAACAAATAGACAATATAGACTGTAAAAATAAATCAAACCAGTATATAAGCTAAGCCTCAACCTCGAACCAAAGTAACCTCGAGGTGATGTAGTATGAACAATGAAGAACAAGGCAACTCAGATAAACATTTAGTAAAGTAGTAAGCAACAAAGAAATGATTGTATATGTTTTTCTCAGTGAGCAATGATAATTAAAAATGAATGGAATTCCTTTTTATATTGTAGACAAGTCCTAATTAAGGTATATTTCTAATTACAGTAGGAAATCATGTCAACAATTAATTAACCGTTATAGGCTTGATTCGTTTTGAGATTTACGCCACGATCCTCGATCAATCACGGATATCTCGCCCTTTCCGTTATAAAGCTATGCCGATATTACTCAGAGTCTGCCTATTTCTGGCCTCGATTGATGTTGACCTCGATCTGAAAAGAGGCTTCGAGTTCAGACTCGGCGTCCTAGCCCTTCGACGTAACATTCCTATCTCGATCAAATAGTGAAATCGGGTAGCCCGATTTCTACCGTATACAGAAGCGTTCCATGTGATTCTGCCGAATTCGTGATCTCATTCCTCTGTTTTAGGTGCATCAATTATGTTGGTTCGATTTCTCAATCGGGCATTAATTCCCATTTCTGACAAGTACAATTCGACTTGTTAACTTAACTTTTGTGGAGTAGTTTTCCACTATGCTCAAGACCCACATAGCTAAAAGCGAATGGTCAGGAATTCTTCAAATCCAATCAAGTCTTGACACATGAATAAGAAAAAGAACCTTTCTTTCCCTATAAATTTCTGCTACCATCTTTAAAATTGAACCAAACAAAGAAAACAATTCTCTCTCGTAAACAGGAATAAAAAGCATGTCAAAGTTTAGCGCACTTTTCATTGTGGCCATTCTTCTGTGCTTCAGTCTCAAATCTGCAGCTCACCCTGATTCCACTTTGACGAAAGCACAATTCAAAGTAAGTCGATATTGTTATAAAATAAAAATTATAAAGTAAATAAATCGAAGATAAGTATAGACAGAGATTGATATATTATTCAAACTTCAAACTTATGTACATAATGAACTGAAAACTCCTCTATTTATAAAAGAAAGGAAGCAACTGCGAAGCTTTTCAGGAAGTAGCTGTAAGGCTTTTCTTTAGCTGCTTGTAAGTTGTCTGCATGAGCTGCTTGCAACCTACCTGTTTAATAAGAAGCTCCTGCAAATCATTTCATTGAGCTGCTTGCAACCTACCTGCATCAGTTGCTTGTAGATAAATTTCAACAGAGTACTAAATGGATAATCTTCTTCAGGAAGATTATCTATAGCGAAGTAATAAATGGACATCCACAATATAATTATTTTCATAACACTCCCCCTTGGATGTTCATTAAAAGGTATTATGCCTCGTTAAAACCTTACTAGGAAAAACCAAGTGGAAAAAATCCTAGTGAAGAAAAAAGAGTACACATATTTAATAATACGCATTTCTAACTGCCTCATTAAAAACCTTATAAGGAAAACCTTGTGGGAAAAAACCTTAGCAAGAAAAAAAGAGTATATCGCGTATTTTACTCCCCCTGATGAAAACCTTGTTTCAAATATTTCAGTCTCCGCATTCCAATCTTGTATACCATCTTCTCAAAAGTTGAAGTTGGCAAAGATTTAGTGAATAAATCTGCCGGATTGTCACTTGAACGGATTTGTTGCACATCAATGTCACCATTTTTCTGAAGATCGTGTGTGTGGAATAATTTTGGTGAAATGTGCTTCGTTTTATCTCCTTTTATAAATCCTCCCTTCAATTGGGCTATGCATGCAACATTGTCTTCGTATAAAATTGTGAGTCTTTTCTCACATTCCAAACCACATTTTCTTCGAATAAAATGAATTATTGATCTCAATCATACACATTCCCTACTTGCTTCATGAATAGCTATTATTTCAGCTTGATTTGAAGAATTAGCAACAATACATTGCTTTGTGGAGTGCCATGATATGATAGTACATCCATATATAAATACGTACCCGGTTTGAGATCTAGCTTTATGGGAATTAGATAAATAACATGCATCTGCATAACCAACAAGATCTGCACTATCTTTGTTAGCATAAAACAAACTCATATCAAGAGTTTCCTTTAAATATCGTAATATATGCTTAATCCCGTTCCAATGTCTCCGTGTAGGAGAAGAACTATATCTTGCTAGTAAATTAACAGAAAATGCTATGCCAGGCCTTGTAGCATTAGCAAGATACATTAATGCACCAATTGCACTGAGATAGGGTACTTCGGGACCAAAGAGTTCCTCATCCTCTTCTGGAGGTCGGAACAAATTTTTATTCACTTCAAGTGATCGAACGATCATCGACATACTCAATGGGTGCGCTTTGTCCATGTAAAAGCATTTTAAGACCCTTTCTGTATAGGCAGATTGATGGATAAAGATCTCGTCTCCTAAATATTCAATTTGCAGACCAAGACAAAGTTTTGTCTTTCCAAGATCTTTCATCTCAAATTCTTTCTTAAGATATTCAATTGCCTTTTGGAGCTCTTCTGGAGTTCCAACAAGATTTATGTCATCAAGATAAACAGCAAGTATAACAAATTCTTAATCTATTTTCTTTATAAAAATACAAGGACAAATAACATCATTTATGTAACCCTCTTTCAGCAAATATTCACTGAGGCGATTATACCACATGCGCCCAGATTGAGTACATTTTTCGAGATTTTGAATATGCTTCAGGCATTTTAAATCCTTTCGAGATTTTTATGTAAATTTCATTATCAAGTGACCCGTATAGATAAGCTGTAACCACATCCATTAGATGTATTTCAAGCCTTTCATGTAAGGCTAAACTGATCAGATATCGAAATGTTATGGCATCTATAACGGGTGAATATGTTTCTTCATAATCGACTCCAGGTCGTTGTGAGAATCCTTGTGCAACAAGGCGAGCCTTGTATCTTTCAACTTCATTTTTATCATTCTTTTTTCGCACAAAAACCCATTTATGACTAACTGGCTTTATACCAGCAGGTGTTTGGACTACTGGTCCAAAGACCTCTCTTTTAGCAAGTGACTTCAATTCCGATTGAATTGACTCTTGCCATTTTGGCCAATCAGATCTTTGTCGACATTCTTTGACAGATCGGGGTTCAAGATTCTCACTATCTTGTATAATGTTAAGTGCAACATTATATTCAAAAATATTATCCACCACTATTTCAGATCGATTTAAATTAATCCCATCACCATTAGAACTTATTAAAAGTTCCTCACTCACTTGAGTCTCGGGTTCATTGATTTCTTCAGGAATCTCAGAACTAATCAGATCTTGGGTCTCTTCAAGAGATCCCTTCGTAATATCATTTCGATCATTTATCGATTTTTGTTTTCTAGGATTTAGATCCTTAGAACCCAAAGGCCTACCACGCTTCAGGCGTGCTTTAGGTTCACTAGCTCTCATGCTAGTAGATGGTCCTGCTGGGACATCAATTCGGATAGGCACATTCTCCGCAGGGATATGTGACTTAGTTATCCTTTTCAAATTAGTAAATGCATCTGGCATTTGATATGCTATATTCTGTAAATGGATGATCTTCTGGACCTACTGATTTCATATAGGGGTACGTGGATCAAAGTGAGATAATGATAAAACTTTCCACACAATTTCTCTTTTGATTTCCTGTTTCTCCCCCCCTAATTGTGGGAAATTTGTTTCATCAAATCGACAATTTGCAAATCGAGCAGTAAATAAATCTTCTATCAATGGTTCAAGATAGCGAATAATAGAGGGTGATTCAAACCCAACGTATATTCCTAACATTCTCTGCGGGCCCATCTTACTGCGCTGTGGTGGTGCTACTGGCACATATACAACACATCCAAAAATTCGTAGATGGGCAATATTTGGTTCATGACCAAAACCTAATAGTGACGGAGAATATTTATTATAATGTGTCGGTCTGAGACGGATAAGTAATGCTGCGTGCAAGATAGCATGGCCCCAAACAGTAGTGGACAATTTTATTTTCATAAGTAGTGGTCTTGCTATCAACTGCAGGTGTTTAATAAATGACTCTGCAAGGCCATTTTGAGTATGAACATAAGCTACACGATGTTCAACTTTTATCCCAACTGATAAAGAGTAATCATCAAAAGGTTGAGATGAGAATTCTCCAGCATTATCAAGGCGAATAGCCTTTATAGGATAATCTGGGAATTGTGCCCTTAATCGAATTATTTGGGCTAATAACTTTTCAAATGCCAGGATACGAGATGATAGTAGGCACACATGAGACCATCTTGAAAATGCATCTATTATGACCATAAAATATCTGAATAACTCATTTGGTGGGTATATAGGTCCACATATATCCCCATGTATACGCTCTAAAAAGGCAGGGGACTTAATGCCAACCTTCATTGGTGATGGTCTAGTGATCATTTTGCCTTGATAACAAGCATCACAAGAAAATTCATCATTTGTAAGAATCTTCAGGTTCTTTAATGGATGCCCACTCGAATTTTCAGTAATTCGTCTCATCATTATTGATCCAGGATGGCCCAAACGGCCATGCCAAAGCACAAAAGTATTTGAATCAGTAAACTTTCGGTTTACGATAGAGTGTGCCTCAACTGCATTAATTTTTGAATAGTATAAGCCAGAAGATAAAGTTGGTAACCTTTCTACAATGCACTTCTAGCAAGAAAAATTCTTTGTAACACAAAGATATTCCATATTCATTTCATCTATCGTCTCAACATGATACCCATTCCGGCGGATATCCATAAAACTCAACAAGTTTCTTCGGGAATTGGAGAGAATAATGCATTGTCTATAATAAGTTTTGTTCCCTTAGACAGAAATACAATAGCTCTTCCGGAGCCTTCAATCAAATTTATATTACCAGAAATTGTAGAAACATTTACTTTTTCCTTATGCAAATAAGAAAAGTATTTCTAATCTTTGAATATGGCATGAGTTGTTCCACTATCAATTACACAAATATCTTCATGATTGGTCTTTGATCAAAACATAATTTGAGGATTATCCATATTCTTCAAAATGACATAAACAAAATAAATATGATAGTGAACATCATTATCAAAGCATAACCTTTATTTATGTACACCTATTACATAACCATACTATCTACTACAAACAATAAATATTAAAATATTTACATCTTTACAGATTCATCACCGATCACATGGCTTGTTTCTCCTTTCGGGAGTGCAAAGTAATCAGCTATATCCAAATGCATGAAGTCTAAATTATCTTCAGAAATAAAATTTGCTTCAGCAGTTTTCTCAGTCTTCTTCAGGGAGGCTTGATACAGTTCAACCAGGTGCTTTGGCGTACGACATGTACATGACCAGTGCCCTTTTCTTCTACATCTATAGCATGCATTTTCTACGTTTGCTGCTTGCACCGCTTCATGCTTTTGTTCCTTCCTTTTCCACTGCTGGTGGTGAGGATGGTTCTTTGGTGCATTGTTATTACCATGATTAGTGTTTCTTTCCCGACCACGGCCATGACCACGACTGGGGCCACGTCCTCTTCCACGCTTAGCTTGGTGGAAGTTCGTCTCATTCACTTAAGGGATTGGACAAGAACCAGTAGGCTGACTTTCATGGTTTTCATTAGTAGCCCATTATGTTGCTAGGCTACAAGAAGATGTGAGATAAGTTCAGAATACTTTTTGAATCCCATCTCTCGATATTGCTACTGCAGGAGCATGTTCGAGGCATGAAAAGTGGTGAAAAGTTTTTCCAACATATCATGATCAGTAATATTATCACCACATAATTTTAATTGGGAAATAATTCTGAACATAGCAGAATTATACTCACTGATAGATTTAAAATCTTGTAGCCTTAGATGAGTCCAATCATAAC